ACATAGGATTTGGACGGAATTTACAGGAAACTGTCGGCAATAATAGGTGAAAGAGAGTATAGAAACATTAAGAATTTGGTAGTAAATCGATTTCGTATTTATTTAGCATTATATTTTATTGAAACGCTTCAAGTGCCTGTGGTTAGAGTAGCAGTGTAAGCAGTAGAGCCACAAGTTCCCTTCTCGCTTAACACTACGTTGGCGAGAGGTCCTACGACGTGTAACAGTCAGAGAGCCTGGTCGGTTTATGTAAGCAGTAGCTCTAGTACGCATAACCAAACGTTTAAACCTTTCTTCATCCTTTTTAGCTAGAACGAATTGATGTTGATCTCCCCGAATACCAGGGGGAACCAGACAACGTCTCCATAGCCAAATGTAAAGCCGCAGCAGAGTCCCTAAAGCAGCCATGCCTAGTGGAGGACACGTGTCTGTGCTTTAACGCACTTGGTGGACTGCCTGGACCGTACATCAAGTGGTTTCTCGCCCAAATAGGACCGGAAGGCTTACACCGGTAAGTAGCTCTACATTATATAGACCCGTACTTTGCCACAGCGATGCACAGTGGGAGAGCGAAGCGAAGGGCTACGTAAGTAGAGCAAACTGGCAAATTGATCCTCAAAGGCTCCGTTTTAAGTCGTTAACCCTTTGATAACCAACTTCGGCTGTGTCAGCTTGGTTGTCACATGACAAACTAACAGCCTTTGCAACATAAGTATCAGATATCTGCGTCAGTATAAAGAGCCCACGATCAACTAATAATTCCGCACGCACGAGAGAAATCGCCCTCCCTGCGAATATCCCCGATCCGTTTCCGGCCGTCCATTCGTGCAGGCGACGATTCCTCGCTGCTCTGTGCGCGAAATCTCCCAGCTCGTCCTCCGTCTCCCCTCCCTCCCTCACTCTCCCCGCCCGTCCGTCTCCCCTCCCTTCCTCACTCTCCTCCTGTCCTCCGTCTCCCCTCCCTCCCTAACTCTCCGCCTGTCCTGCGTCTCCCCTCTCTCCCTAACTCTCCCCGCCCGTCCGTCTCTCCTCCCTCCCTCACTCTCTCCGCCTGTCCTCCGTCTCCCCTCCCTCCCTAACTCTCCGCCTGTCCTCCGTCTCCCCTCCCTCACTCTCTGCCACCTTAGGCCAAAACAAAATATAGGTGTGGTTACGATTTTCTGACCGACCCTAATTATTCCCAGCGACCCTAATCATTTTATTGTCAATTTTCTTTAAAGTAAAAAAAAAATATTTTTTATGGGACAGTTCCTACTTCAAAAGGCACAACGCACATCCTTCGGACATGGTTCGTAAATAAAATATTTTCCCTACCTACCCTATTTTTTTTCGGCATGTAACGGTAACCACACATATATTTTGTTTTGTTTTGGCCTTACAGAATGCTGCAGGGATTCGACGACAAGTCGGCCGTCGCGCTGTGCACGTTCGCGTACAGCCCCGGCGACGCCGGCGCCCCCGTGACGCTGTTCCGCGGGCGGACACGCGGACTCATCGTCGAGCCGCGCGGCGGGAGCGGCTTTGGCTGGGACTCGTGCTTCGAGCCGGAAGACGGACGCGCGCAGACGTACGCGGAGATGAGCGCCGCGACGAAGAACTCGCTCTCCCATCGCGCGAGGGCGCTGGAAGAACTGCGACGCTACTTCGTCGACGGCACGCCGCCGCCGCCGTCGTCGTCGTGACGACCGGACCGTCGTTTTCGGATTGCCGATCGCGATGAGACGTTTTGCCTGCACAGCTTTCGTGTTATGCCCAGGTGTGTGTGTGTGCGTGTGCGTGTGCGTGTGTGTGTGTCCATGCGCGTGCGTGCGTGTGAGCACGATATAGATCTACTTTAACACTGGACAGTCCTTTCATGCATGAATAGTGTCCAGAAAGTTTCGCAATTTAAATTGTATATTGGTGTATATTGGTGTATATTGGTCATATAAAAATACATAAATAACACATGCAAACGACGAGAATTTGAGTTGATTAGTTCCATTTATTTTAAAGACGCACCAGTGCGCCCCAATCTGCCAAAGACTACGACTTATGATACATTCACAAGCAAAATATATATATTATATATATTCTTCTTTTTTTCCGTTTCGAGTCGAGAGCAGCAACATTTGCTATTTTTGTAATTTACCATGACCGTCAAAAAAAAACCCCGTCGCATCCGCAGCTTCTGCCTACATTGCACTCCCTAACCTCTCTTTGTGATAGAGCTGGCCTACGCACGGGTCTCTATCCCTGTTGCAGACGAACCGATTCGAACGACACAAAACCTTGCACGTTCTCGTCCGCCTATTCCGCTCGATCATAATCGACCATCTTCTCGCCTGTCGTCACGAAACGTTGCACGTATGTTACCTGCCCGTAGGCACGCAGACACTTCAGGCATGCAGGCATCGACGCGTGCACGGCGAATGCAGACTCCCCAACGATCGCGTAACAACCAACCCGTCGTCGTGCCGACGCACAAGACGAGGCACCTGCTTCACACGGTTGGCGCTAGATGGCGCCAGCAGGATTATCGCTACTTTACTCACCGGAAGCATGGCAATCACCTGCTGTATTACACTTCCCGGTATCTTAAAACGTGGTGAAACAATAGACCTCGACCGTCAATCACCGCGTGTAATTGCACAGGTTTTGAGTACAAGTTTTGCTTCACCCTGCAGCCCTACTGGCAATAAACCCCATACAGATCCCAAATACCGAATATGATCACGCCCACTTCGTCAGCTAGCTATCTCTGTAATCCAGGGATAAGTTAGTAAAATTATTAATCCTGTTATCTGTTGGCTCTTATTTCCAGTTCAACATGTGCACTCAAGTGGCTCCACCTACAGGTGCAGCTCGTAACCTACATCACCTAATGCCCACAGTCATTTTAAAATCGATTTTTCGGCAGCCAACAACTTACATATCACAACGTGTTGAACGAAAAAGCACACAAAGTGTTAGTCTGACAGACAGCATGACATGTGACCTCTTCATACTTCTGTCACCCCAATATATATATAAAATTCGGCTGTACTTGACAGAAACTCAACCAGTAACCGTCAATTCACATGCTGCATTGACGTCATCCGACAGAACAAAAATACTCTTATATATAAATCGAGAAACAATAAAATAATTTCATTATATATTTCTAATAACCCAACAACAATATTTTTTTCATTTTAGATTTCAAAAATAGAATATATGGAGGGTCAGTGAGAAAAGATCATACAACTAGCTAGTAGTCCTACAGCTTTTACTGCAGTGGTGGTGTTCCCCTTCTGATTTAAAGGAAGACAGATTCTAGGTGGTAGATCCGATAACCACTACGCACACCTGTTACATTGTGAAACTGACAATATACATTATTTTGACACCAGAGGGCAGCAGCTACTAGTCTGCATCGTCCTCGTATATAGGTAAGCCCATTGATTATGCAATGTTGACGAATGCTAGAGTAACTGGCACCTCGTGTAGTTAATAAGTACGTAACCTTATAGCCAAACGTGTATTAGTTTGTCCAATATCACTGCTGGTTACATTACAAACAAGACTTGAAATCGGTTGTTGATATGTATCAACGTATCATTTACGTGACGTAAATGTCATCCAGGAGTCAAGCGATGACATAAACATTTGTGGCCGGTATGTTTTGGACGCCAGATGAAATGGAGGTGTCAGCGGTGTAACCACGGCCACGGACTAAACATGGAAATGGAGTAAAGCACACGTACTAATCACGGACGCACGTGGACAGCCCTGACAAAAAGTTCCTTATCACGAGCGTGCATGTTTACGAAATCACTGATGATAGCATTGCGTACAGAGCGCATGAGTGCGAAAATGTCCGGTGCACTATAAATCTGTATTACACCCGCTTCGTCGGCAGCGGTTTGAAACTGTAAACAACTGATTTTTGGACTGCAGATTTCAATTAGACATTTCTTAGTAACCAGCAGTGATATTGGACAAACTAATACGCGTTTGGATGTAAGGTTATGTACTTATCAACTACACAAGGTGCCAGTTACTCAAGCATCCGTCAACATTGCATAAGCAATGGGCTTATTATGCCTTTAACGTGTATATACAACCAATCTGTTCGAGGTAGCCATCTATAGTGGCAGACGCCCCCCCACCCCCACCCCCGGGGAGAATGAGGCTGCTTACGACCCTTCGCAAAGACGAAACAACGTCACGTCATTCACAAGGTCGTACGATAACGTAACCATCCCACAGTTAACCTGCTTAGATCTCGGCCCCCCCACGTGCGTGGGCGTGAGAACGATTTACCCATTATGCGACGTAATACCATTACCTGTGATTATCATACAATGAGATGCGCGAGTCGGAAGATTGGTTTCCCCATTAAGATAAGCAGTGCGCGCGCATCTTCGCGCAAAGATAACTCTGCCGGACGACACCTGTCAACAGGTACACCCAAACAAAATTCTGGGAGCAGAACAAACGTACCACTCTCTGTAATGTGAGACCTCACACGGGCCGTTTAGAAATGGCACACTTACTTTGGCAATAGGCAGGAGGGAAGAGGGGAAGTGTGGGGAAGGGAAGGGAGAGAGAGACGGGCGGTTCCTCCTTGCCCGCAGGACCGAGGGGCAGCAGCGGGGTACGTGGAGTAAGCGAAATGTGTTACCGCATTCCGGGCGTGCAGCAGGGCACGACGCGCGCCCCGCCAGAGAGCCGCATGCGTTCCCCCCCCCTGGAGGGGGACATCCGTAGCATCGGCGCAACCGCAAAATCAGCGCCGTGGTTTATCAGGACAGCATCTTTCTCGTCCCCTCCCCCCTGGTGGCTCGCCCTCCGCGCAGCGCCACCTAGGGGGAAGCGCGGGAAGTCGCCGTCCGTTTAGCAGACGCTTGGTCCCGTGTGTGGACTTACAAAAGGAAAGAAAAAAACGACGACGACGCGACCGCCGTCTCCTCGGTGCTTGTCAGAGACATCATTGATCCTTTCTCGCTCGCTTCTTCTTCTTCTGCGGTTTGGCATCCTGCCAAGAATCTGAAATGCGACAATGAGTTTATTCCATGCGCGGAAGTCTGTACGTACTCTACGTTACATGCGTGCAGGTTTCCTGAATTGATAAGACTGAATTGAATAGATGAATAAGTTGAACAGACAAGCTCATGCAGACAAAGCCACCATCTAGACGGATCTAGGTCATCATGGTTCTACTTCGGTGTTACGTTATCAAACCACCACGCTCTTGTCTCGCCATGCCGCAGTGTTGCTAAACAAACAAAATCAATGTAAAATCACTCTACGAAATCAGGCTAAAGCAAGTACACAACGTACCACCCATTTCGTCGATCGCTGCACCAGCATTTTTGCTCTCCTGCGATTTATCCGAAGAGCCGGTGCCTTCTGCGTGACCTAATGGCAAAAACAATGTAAAATAAAAATAATTACCACACCATGCCATCAGCGAGTTTGAAATTATCGCCAAATGGCTAGCGGGAGCGAGATGAACCCTCTCGTAAAACACGCCGACTAAGCAAATGATGAAGTGCGCTCAAACTGCACAGCGTGCAACCGAGTGCTGACTTTTACTAAGGGTTTTCCTAACTGTCCTTCTTCCCGTTACCATGTATACCGCCACAGCAAGAAAGCTAGCCTACTGCTGCCGGTGAGGACCGCACTCGAGCCCACGTTCTTATTTGACCCATGTATCGTCGTTATCTATGAAGATCATAATAATAAGAAGAAAGGGGAAAAGAAGGCGCCGAAGAAAGAGAAATGATGAAGAAGAAGAAAAAGAGGAAGAAGAAGCAGAGCAAGCAGAATGAGAAGGAGGAGGAAGAAGGGGAGTCGAAAAGGGAGGAAGAGGAAGTGAATGAAACACGAGAACGCCACCTGCGACGATGCGGACGACCAATTAATGCCCGCACTCGTTGGAGCGGCGAGATCAAACGAGATTCGAGGAGGTGCGCCGCCTAGGCGCATGCTCACTTATACGTCAGTCCCGCGACGATTGACGTCACACAATGACGCAATTACGCTCACGGCCCCGCACGCGAGTTTTTAAATCGTAAGATGGCGACTGAAGATTGATAAATTATTCGTGCTTTAAACCCTGCCCCTAACCCTAACCCTAACCCTAACCCTAACCTTAACCCTAACCCTAACCCTAACCCTAACCCTAATCAGTCACGATCGTACGTCACCATCAGTTACTGTCATATCCTTCAGTCGCCATCCTACGATTTAAAAACTCGCCCCCGCACGCGCGAGGTTCGCAGCATCTTCTTTGCGAGTCGCGTTGCCAAGGCAACGTAGCTGCTGCGTCATCCGCGTACGCGCGCGCGCACGACCGGCCGACGTAAAGGTGATACAGCTAATAATGAGAAGGCGTCGGTGTGGGGGGGGGGATGAAACACGGCACAGCAGACGCAAATAGTCCATCCAGAGTGGACAATTTGCGGCAAGTGTGGGGGCGTGCGTGGTAAGTGGGCTGATGCTAACCTTCTAGTGAAGTTGTGTGGCCGTATCGATCGTGCCGCATGAATGCCAACGTGACAGAGTGGCGATGGGCAACACTCTACCTACACCAGCCACACCTCTCCCCCGTCATTCTCACCCTCTCGTCACGCCTCGAAAAATTAAGCGAAAGAGCTTAAGCTGAGATAATAAAGAGAAAACAAAATAAAAATAAGCTTAAGATCTAAAGCTCTCAGAGCTGCGAGAACGACAGGATTGGCGCTGCTGCGCAGACGATACACGCGAAGCATCCGCGAGGGATGCGCAAGACTGCCACCTCGTTAACGCTAACGACTCGGCGGAGGCATTAATTAATGGCGACCCTTGTCTTGCCGCGCGCGATAATTCCTGCGCTGCGGCAGCTTCGCTGATGCGTTTAACTAATGCGATTGTCGGTTAATGCGAGTGATGAGGTGTAAATGACGTCACGACATGGTGTCGCTCGCAGTGAAAACATGATTCAGGTGCATGGACGATCGCTAGCTGAGCTTATAATCGCGAATTTCGTTAATGCCAAAGCTACGTTCATTTCCACGCATAGATCCTTGTTCAATAAACAGCAGGGGCCCACTGTCAGAAAGAGAAATTAGTCCTTAACATTACTCTTAACATTAACTTTGTCCCGTAGACTGTTTGACAGAAACAGGGTAAAGTGGTTTGTTTCTGATACACAGTGCATAGTGGGTTTGGTCTTCGAGAAGTTGGTGTTAAGACTAATGTTGAGACTGATTTTGCATCCGACAAATGCCCCCAGGGCATCACTAGTCTAGAGCAGTGGTTCTTAACCCTTTTTGAGCTGTGGACCCCTTTGAGAATCTGGTGAATGCTACAAACCCCCCCCCAGAAAAATACACATAAGCACATAAACACAATATTTCGCATACAATGGGGTTCGCGGACTCCCCGAGGACCCCAAAGGGACCACAGGTTAAGAACCAATGGTCTAGAGGGCAAGCAAGCGTATGGCTAGACAAGCAAACAAACAGATACAGACAGACAGACAGCGAGTAGAGAAGACGTGACGTGACATAGCTCACCACTATCGCCGCTGTCGTCGAGTAGAGGACTGAGTCTCTCCTCGGGAGACGGGGCCCTCCTCGGCTCCGCGGCTTCCTCCTCCGCAGCAACCTCCTCCGCAGCGACCTCCGCCGCCGCCGGTTCCTCCGCCGGCGTGCTCGTCTCCGCCTCCTTTCCCTTCTTCTTCTTCGACTTCTTCTTCTTCTCCTTCGCAGGCGATGCCTTCGCCTCGACCTTCAGCCAGCCGTTCTCGACGTCCTCGACCTTGACCTCGTCCGACCCCGACGTGTTCTCGCCGCGGCCCTCCGAGCCGTCGCCCGTCGCCTCCGTCGTCTGCTCGTCCGAACTTTCGACCTTGACCTCCGCCGGTTCGGCGACCTTGCGCTGCAAAGAGTGGATCGTTGTCGTCGTGAGCGCTCGACCATTGACGTCTAACTGACGTAGATCAACGCACAAGATTATCGACAATACGCGCGCGCGCCTTCTCGCCTGCATATCGAAACGTTGCCGAGCGAGCGATCTATCTGGCGTAAATAATCTAATTTCCATTGTCAAGATTTGCCAGATTTCAACATGTGCGAGCATTGTTGTCATTTGTCAATGACGCTCACATTCAACACTGACAAATCGGTTAACCGATTGATCGATTGGGTACTCGCAATGAAGGAATATTGTCATTTGAAAATTTCGGCCCGGAATCAAAAGAAAATAGAAGAGCGATCGTTTCGAAGATACGAAGTAGCAAGTAGCGTATCACATAGAGTAGTTTCCCCAATTCGACCACGCGGCAGACTTTCATGGAGAAACGGAGAGTAGGGAGAAGGGAGAACGAGGAGGAATCTCTCTTACCTCCTCCTCTTCTGCCTCCTGTGTCTGTTGCTCGGCTGGTATCTCCGGGGTGACCTCCTTTTCGAACGTCGGCTCCTCAACGACAAACGCCGGCGGCTGCTGTCTCTTCTTCTTCTTCTTTGGGGTTTTCTTCTCCGCAACAACCTGTCAGAAGAGAGAGACTCAACCTTAGTCAGACATACCTCGTCGATAAACATGTCGTGCCCAGACATAAGTCGTCGATAAATGACAACGTCGATCCCGGGGACGACAGTTTAACATGTGAAGCTCACCTTTGCTGCGTCGCCTGTCTCCGTGGCCACTTCTGCCTCTGGCTTCTTCTCCTCTGCAACCTCCTCGACCTTAACCTTCTCCTCGTCGAGCTCCTCTTTCGGTGCGTCAGGCTTCTCCGGTTCGGGAGTCTTCCGTGCCAGCAGCTCCTCTTTCTCCTCCTTGGACTTCTTCTGTTTCTTACCACGACGACTCACCGGTGTCACCCATTCTCCTCCTGTAAGGGATTAGGGCTTGGTTTTGAATGACTGATCGATTGATTGATTAATTAACTGATTGATCGATCGAGTAGTTATTAGTAATAATAGTTGATTATTTAATTAAGTCAGCAGTCAAATGATTGAAGGATTGGTTTAATTAATTACTCAAGTGATTGATTAATTAAGTGATTGATTAATTGATTAATTGATTATTTGACTGAATAATTATCAGATTGAGTGTTCATTTGAATGATTGACTAACTGACATTGAGTGGTTTGGATAAATTTGATAATATGATAAATATAAAAAATAAAAGCAAAAACCTATAAATGAACCTAAAAACTAAGAAAGCAAACTATCTTAACATTTTCTCCCAAAAGTCTGGCAAGAATCCAGTGATTAGCAGCAAACAGCCCGATTGAGCCACGCCATCTAAAGAACACATATCTTGCTATATCGACCCCCACTGCCTGCTACCACCCGCCAATAACTCACTGCTGCCACGCTATCTACAGCTGCCGATAAATTCATTCAGACATTGGCTTAGAGTCTGTCTGAGCCTCGCTCGCGCACTCTCTGTTCTCGCATCCTTTCTTGCCGAGGATAGTGCCGGGGGGAGGAGCATCACCACGGCAACCGCGCATCGACGGCGCCGGCTGCAGATGCCGCCAGTTAAAACAAACGAAAAGTCGTTTTTTGGAGTCACCCGATCTCTCGCAGCATCCCCGCGGGTCCTGAAGAGAAGCAATCACCGCACAAGGGCAGCTAACCCTCGCCCCGCCCGAACGCGTCTGCAGGCACAGCCACCGGCACAAAGTAGGCAGTTGGGGTCAGGAGGGGGGGGGGTTGTATTCGGATGGTCCAAACCAATTTTTCGGCCACCACTGATATTCGGCAAAAAGAATTTTCGGAGGACGGATGACAGACATGGCAATTTTACACCCATTGACAGATGTGATGTATCTCTATATCTATAGACATAAGTTTATCTATTATATATATGATATATTATATATATATATATATAATATATGTATAATGTATGTAGAGAGAAAGTGGGGCTGGAGGAGAGGAAGAGGAGGAGGAGGAGGAGGAGGAGGAGGAAGAAAATGATAGCTTGAGTTTCTAGGGAATTATAAAGTTTTGCGCCAATGACACAGCCCCCTGCCTTGCAGAA